TTATAAATGAGACCCCTGATCTTTAAGAAAAATATTAGGCTCCTTAGCTGCCAAATGCTCAATTATGTTGCAAGCTACTAGCTGCTAGGTTGTCTGTCTGCTGTTTCACTGACAACAGCTGCCCACTGCAATTGGTAAAGGGGATGATTGCTATGAGACTCAGTCAAAACAGTAGAGATGCGGGCCAGAAACAATCAGCTATAAGGAGCTAAAAGTCTTTGTAGAGATGAGGTGACAGAGAATCTGGTGATAATTCACTGTGCGTTTGTCACTGCGAGCAACCTCTTTCATTTTACACATATATAAAAAATTGATTAGTGCAGCTTAATTTGAATGCTTCATGTTTGTTCATGTTTGTCTTTGGAAGTGAGAAGCCACATAGAGAAGGGGGACACCAGGGATGGGCGAGAAGGCAGATAAAAGAGGCATTGTTGATATTGTTGCTCTTGTTCCTGCCATGCCAGGCAGATTAATGATGTAAGTAATTGACTGGTCACAATGAGACAAAGAGAAAGAGAGAGGGAGACATTGTGTGAGAGAAATTAAATGAACTACACACACAGTAATGCAACTGCAATAATTTAATGTAAATTGTCTGTAAGACTTGACATGTCTGTTGTACTTGTTTAATGGTTGCATATGCCTCAAGATCAACAGATGCAGTGGGCACACAGGTTTATGTTTTAAATTCTTTCATTTGTCAATTAATATTCATCATGCAGTTGGACAAAGCTGATCATGGGTGTATTGCCATCTGTTCAAAGTGGAAATGTTTGATGGGTTATATTTTACTCACTCCTCACTTGTAAGGTCCTGTGTGAGTTTGACCCGGTCTCTGAAGCACCCTAAGGAGTACATGCTTTCCAGGACATCAGGGTCCAGCTCTGTTAAGGACAGGATCCTCTTCACACACACCCGACGAGGGGGCGGCTGTTCTGGGCAAGGCTCATTACGACCACCCCTGATGGGAAAGAGCCAGTGCATGTAGTTAGCGTGTGCAATTAATACGTTTACAGCAAGCACTGATAGACAATGAGGTCCAACATTACAGAGGTTTAATGTCAACTGAGGTAGAACTTTTCACAGTGTAATATTATGATTCCCAACAAGAGCAGTAGAGACAATATAGCTGACTGATTTCAGCTGTGGTGCAGTACATTGCTTCCTGCGTTTCTCTAACTAGACTTGTGTGATCTAGATTTCACTGGAAAATCTCATCTGAAGAAGCGTTTTCTCAAGGGAAACTTTGTAAACTAGTCCTTTTTAACATGAACAGGGCCGTATGAGCCCAAAATTTGCCTATGAGCAATGTCACTAGAGTACAAATATATTGGCCTAAGCATTGGCTTTCAAAAACTGCCATACCATTTAAGATGGTACTATTTTGGACTAAACACAGGTTGTGGTTTCAGAAAGCAATGCAGCTAGCATTAAAGATATACCAAGAACTTTTAACTATATTTTTACATTTATATTTTTACCACCAACAAAAAACTAGTTGGTGGTAAACTACTAGTCTGATTTTGCTTTGCACAATCCATTTCTTGAGGCTTCAAACTGCTTTTTGTCTACTGTATATATGATATGGCACATCTTACTTTAGTACCAATAAAACACCATAAGAAGCATTATAGCTTATTGTTGATTGGTACTTTAAAACATATCCTATGATCTGAGAGCATGGTTGTTCTCTTTGAATTCAAAACAAGGTTGAAATTACTTATTTTTTTAAAACTCAGTTTTACTTATTATTTATTATGAGTGGCTTAGGTAGAGAAGGGAAAAGGAAAAATGCAGAGGGAGTAAGAAAAAAGTAAGATAGATTAATGTACTTACTGGTACCAGGCGTGTTTCTGTATTGCTTCTAGCTGTAATCAACAAAAAAGAAGGCAATGTTACAGATGTAACTGATACCCTAAATTGACACACAATAAACAAAGATGAAGCATCTGCTGTCCATTGGGTTCTGTTTAAAATAACATAAAAATCCTGACTCAAACAGTATTTTCCTTATGGAAGTCTAAAGCTAGCTCAGCATTGCAGATCCACTCATAATTGTAATTTAGCTGCTCTTTTGCATAGTGATGGTCAGACTGTCTCAGTGTCTTCCTATGAACATTCTCTATGTCCCATGCACAGTTTCTGGCATATCTCAACAAATATTAAAGAGATTGCTAAAAATGTGGTGTACACATTAATTCCCCAACTTGGATGAATTGTAATTTTTATATAGCACCATAATCAACTGGCTCCTCCGAGTGCTAATGGCATTTGCCAAATCCACCAGGCTTTCTCCGCTCTGATTGGTTGTTTTCGTTCAGGCCCAGTGTATTCTTGTAAATGCCATTAGGAGCACTAGGAGGAGCCAGAGGAACTGATTTTTTCACAGATTATCTGTCTCATGTCAGGATATAGTGAAAGTTTCAGCAAATATGAAAAAAATATGTAAAAAAAATAACATAATGCAGCTTTAACATCAGTACGTTCAATGCTCAATTACAACCTCACAGAGCCGCTAGGTAGCATGGCTGAAGTCAATTATATGCTTTCATGAATCCCAGGAAAAGTTTCAACGCAGTCTAGTCTTACATCCCCTAGTACAATATATATTCTGTAAGAGTCCCCTCTGCATTAGGACTGGATACAGTGGTAGCCATTGCATCGATACTGCGCATTATCTCTTGGGGTTAGAGTAACTTGAACATGCATTCTATATAATGACCAGCAGGGGGCAGCTCCATTGGCTGCATGGTGTTCATTTAGTAAATGATGGTCCCATTTAGAGTAAAAGAGACCATAAAGCAAGGTATGCTTTAGGGCGTGGCTACCTTGTGATTGACAGGTCATTCTCACTGAGTCCGTCCAGCTCAACGCACCAAACTCAGATCAAACAGTCAGACTAGGCAGTGCTGATCAGATATGGATCTAGATTCTGTTACTGTGTTGTCTATTTCTTGTTGCAAATCTTTTCCGAAACATATTTTAGTGTTCTGTTTAGCTGGAATACGAGAATGTGTAACTTCAACTCAACTTGCAGTACTTCACCTCCACTGGCTGCAAAAAAAAAACAACACAAACCAATGGGTGACGTCACAATAGGTTCACACTTTGTTAGGGTGTTAGGGAACTTACTTAGGGAACAGATACACTCCCTAGAACTAAAGACGTGTGGGTACATTTCCTAATGTTCTGCTTGCTTACCTATATACTTTTGAACTGAATTGGAGTATGTGGTGTTGTTTCCATGGAGGCAACTAGCAGACAGACAGAGAGACAGAGACAGTCTGACCTGGTTTCAGGCTCTATTAATCAACAGCTCATCAGACGAAGCCACAGCTTTGATTAAATTTGTTCTGCTGTAGCTGAATGACTAACTGACCAGACTTATTCCTTCTCTCTGTCTTTATTTTACAGCATCTAGCAAACCACATTATCACAGTTGTCTCTGCCTTTCTGCCTCTTAAAAATGAATTCATTTCCACCCTGTGTGCCTGCTTTTTCCCAACCTCTCTTTACAACCAGAGTGCAATGGAATTTCCTCTAGAAGTCCATTCATTCAGTCCCTCATTTATTCATTCACCCTCTCCTTTCTCTCTCCTCTATCTTGTTCTGAACTGCCAGTCTCTTTTCAAGTCTCGCTTTCAGGAGGGAAAGCTGGCATTTCAGTGAAAAGGAAGAACGTTCATCGTCTTTTTCACCCTCAGTGCCTCCGTCCTTCTTTACAGCCACTGAAGAAGCCACCATCCATTCATTTTTACATACATTAACATGCCTCTCTTCCTTTCTACATCTTGGTGTCCATGAGTCTTATCCCCAGATAAACTGCTAACTTGCCTTTGAGGACAGAAATAGACCCAGGGCAGTGCTGTCATGCCTGACTCCGATCCTGCCTTTAAGCAATACCTTAGGTCCCTTTGTCTGTTCTTTCCACCTTCCTCATCTCCCACCTCCTCCAGCTGTTAGGTCTTGTGTCAGGGTCAATTCCTGTCACATCTTGAAGCAAAGCCTGGGGATAGGTCTTTTCTTTTCATTCCCTTCTCCCTCCTAAATGCCTGGTTCATGCTTTCTTTGCTGTAGAAACAGATGTGGTGCAATGTGCATGGCAACGATTGACCTTTTACTAAGCCTTCCTTTATTAGTTCTCCATTCATATGTAGTTCAAAATGATAACTGAGGCAGATTTACCATTCAAGGTGCTTTTTCAAACAATGGGTCCTTCATTTCAAACAGAGACAGTCAAAACCAGCTTCTTATTATAGTCAGGAACCAATGATTATGCCGGCTGAAATGACAGCTGTTGCAGACAGACTAGCTAGCTAGCTAAATAAGCTAACATTCCATGAGTTGTTAAAAAACGTTGCCTCCTGTGAACTTTTTTGTGCTTCCAGCTGACTTGTTTGAAAACAAAAACTACCTGGTAGGGGTGAGGGCTTGATATTGTCTTTATAGCTGTATATAAGATATCTACTAAACAGGGGTGGCATATGTGTCTCAACTTTCCATAGATTCCCAATCTATACAATTCCAGTGCTGTTGTTTAAGGACCCCAGTTACTCAATACTCAAATACACTAGGCAAAAATAACACATACCACATTTTTTGCCCAAACTGCATGGGATTAGCATAAAGTGGGCATGTATGCAAAGGGGAGACTTGTGGGTACCCACAGAACCCATTTTCATTCAGATATCTTGAGGTCAGTTTTTCTATCGCAAACATTTTGGAGCGGTATTTAGCACGTTACCAATGGATGTGTTGGGATGCACCTATTTTTTCAAATTAAAATCCCCAGAAAGTGCATGAAACTGAGGATGAAGCTGTTCTTTCAAAAAGACCCAAAGAGTAAGTATTTTAATAGGAAACTATGGATATACGATCAAAATAAATCCCCAAACAGTAACTGTGTCTTCTCTCTGTTGGGATACACATCAAGCATTCAGGCAGACTCAAACTTAATCATTAACTAGGAAATTTCTTAAGAGATTTCCTTCTTGGCATTGCAAGTAGTGCTCAGTAGGCAGTCAGCTAGTTAGCCGGACATGCTAGTGTTTGCAGCTACACACAGTGTATTAAGCACACACACTCCTTAAAGATGCTCTTGTTTTTATGGTTTTAGAAAGGCTTCTAAACTTGATAAATATCACTTGCTTAGTTTATATATATTCATATTTATTTATATTCAAGTTTTGATACACCTCATTTCCTCTCTTGCCAGAGACTGCCATGGCCTGAAACAACACCCTCAATGTTAAAGAGTTATGACAATGCCCTCGATGATCATAGACTCCAAAAGCCATTTCTCAAAAACATGCATCCAAAGAGAACTCTTGTTCTTTAATTCCAAGATGATGTTTCAGTTGGGAAACCATTAAATCTTCTGTTTTCAAGCTTGACTGTATTTAAAAACATACATCACTCTGACATAAGTACATTGCCATTAGCTAGTGTTTTTAACAGTTCCCCCTCCCTACTCACCGTGAGTCTCTTGTCAGCGTTGACTTCTATCATTCCTTTAAGCAGAGCTTGGCAGTCAGGAGGTATAAAGTGGGGCATGTGGAATACTCCACTCTTCACTTTCTCTAGAAGCTGCCGCAGGTTATCGTGGTCAAAGGGCAAGGCACCCTGGGAAAGGATGGGAGACGAAGGAGAGATAAAAAGAATATCAATTAGGATGAGAAACAGAATCAGAAACAGAATCAGAATCAGGTTTATTGCAAAATAAGTTTTCACATAGGAGGAATTTGCCTTGGTACATTGGTGCGTAAGTAAATATAAATAAAGATAAAAAGATAAAAAATAGAGACAATAAAAAGGAGACTACAAAATATAAACTACAAATATAAAAAGTGAAGAATATCGCAAAATGGCCGGATACTTAAATAGATGCTTAAAGAGAAAAATATTGTATATTTGCAAAAAAAATTGCTAGATTGACCGGGAAGTCTGCAAATGACAGAATGATATAAGAGGCTTAAAAAGAGATACATTTTATCAACAGTTTGCTTAGTATGGAGACTGAAAACAGGGGAAACAGTGACCATTCGAAAGTAACAAAATCCATCTGCCAGCGCTTAACATTAACATTTATTCTGTAAAACAACTGAAGTGTAAGATGACAATTAAAATGTTGACAGGGGGTTGTGTTCTACATTTATGGATCAAACAAACAAAATATAGTTGGTTAATTAGGGAGCTTTAAGGCCTGGAAGATGGAATTTGCCTAACTACTCCTTTATAGGTGCCCTGAGCAGTTTTCTTGTAGCCAAATACAGCTATGTCTTTGTGTTATGCTTCTCAGAAAAACACATTGTATCTATATTTAACGCTGCTTGCTAGCAGTCTTTTTCTTCCCTGCTCTTTTCTGGCGCATTGCTGCATCTCTTGGCAGGTTACCCACACCAACTGTCATTCAGTGTAAAAGTGTAAAGCTGTCTGCAGTCATGTATTGTGTCACCTATGTGCTTGTGCATTATACTACCTTGCTAGTAGAGCACAAGATATAAACCTTTAAGGTTTAATACAGATAGGCTGATGGTCTGGTGGAAGCAGGGGCGGATCTAAAGGGGCTTTGGCAAGAAAATACTGAAATATGTAATTGCTTGTGATTAAAGCTGCTGTAGGTACCTTATGAAAATAACTTTTTGTCATATTTAAAGTTTTTACTGTGTCTTGACATTAGTACACGAGACAGATAATCTTTGGAAAAAAATCAGGTTCCTCTGGCTCGTTCTAGCACTCCCATTGGCATTCACAAGAATCCACCGGGCCTGGACGAAAACAACCAATCAGAGCATAGAAAGATAGAAATATGATTTGGGTTGGAGACTTGACGATAGCTGTTTGTTGAGTCTCATTCCCACTGTATTTGACACCCTGTAAATGAGACTCAATCAACTATCTCTCTCAGCTCTAATTGATTGATTTTGTTCAGGCCCAGTAGATTCCTACAAATGCCATTAGGAACACTAGGAGGAGCCAGAGGAACCGGATTTTTTCACAGACTCTTACTTTTTTCACAGATTATCTGTCTCATGTCTCGTGTTAGGATATAGTAAAAGTTTCAGCAAATATGGAAAAAATATCTTTATAAAAATGACCTACTGAAGCTTTAAATCAGCATATATTTATGCCACCCCTTAAAGTCTCCATGACACCATCTGGGCACCCCATAATTATTACTCTAGATCCGCCCCTCGGTGTGACAGTACTGTGTATGAGTTTTAATGGGATGTACATGAGCTGAATTGTGGAAATCAAAGGGCAGAGAGAAAAAGACGAGCAACTAAATACTGGAAGAAAAGACACGCATACAAGAAGGATCTTCTTACCACAAGAAGAGCAAAGAGAATGACTCCACAACTCCAAACATCTGCCCTGCGACCGTCGTACTTCTCCCCCTGAGACACAATTGCAAGGACCGGGTAGCGTTAGACACACACACAGACACAAACACACACACACACACACACTGAGAGGGAACTAACTTACCCTTATGACCTCTGGGCAAGCATAATGTGGGGATCTATAAATAAAGAAGAGGAAATTATTTAATTATTTAACCAGACACAAACATAAACACGGATAAAGGGGGCACTGAGTTGTTGCTGATTCATGTAAAAAAAAAAGAAAAAGAAATTCCAGCCTGAGTGTACAAAAACTGACAACACCTGCTCTTTCATCCATGGAATAGACTGAATAGGTGAATCCAGGTGAAAGCCACAATCCCGTACTAAATTTATCTGTTAAAGCCGCGTTCCTCCTGGTGGGCAGGTGGTTTAAAGCTTTTAATAAACAAATCGATTATGTAAAAAGAAGCACAATAGGGCTTTGAGTGGACGTTCCTGATGTTCTGCACACTTTGTGTACATCACCAAACTGTAAATCTTAAAGTCATTTAAAGCTGCTTTTATAAAAATAATTTTTTGTC